TGCCCAGGGTGAACACAAGGTCCAATCTTGCTGGTTCATCCCCCCCTCTCACTCTGGTAGTGTCCTTAACATGTTGGTGCATGAGGTTTTCCAGCACCACGTCCAACATCCTGGCTCTCCATGTTTTGGGACCCCCATGTGTGTGTGTGTGTGTGTGTGTGTGTGTGTGTGTGTGTGTACTCACCTAATTGTACTCACCTAATTGTGGTTGCAGGGGTCGAGACTCAGCTCCTGGCCCCGCCTCTTCACTGATCGCTACTGGATCCTCTCTCTCTCTGCTTCCTGAGCTTTGTCATACCTCTTCTTAAAACTATGTATGGTTCCTGCCTCCACTACTTCACTTGCTAGGCTATTCCACTTGCTGACAACTCTATGCCTGAAGAAATACTTCCTAACGTCCCTGTGACTCGTCTGAGTCTTCAGCTTCCAGTTGTGATCCCTTGTCCCTGTGTCCCCTCTCTGGAACATCCTATCTCTGTCCACCTTGTCTATTCCCCGCAGTATCTTGTATGTCGTTATCATGTCTCCCTGACCCTTCTGTCCTCCAGTGTCGTCAGTCCGATTTCCCTTAACCTTTCCTCGTACGACATTCCCTTGAGCTCTGGGACTAGCCTTGTTGCAAACCTTTGTACTTTCTCTAACTTCTTGACGTGCTTGACCAGGTGTGGGTTCCAGACTGGTGCTGCATACTCCAGTATGGGCCTAACATACACAGTGTACAGTGTCTTGAACGATTCCTTATTAAGGTATCGGAACGCTATTCTCAGGTTTGCCAGGCGCCCGTATGCTGCAGCAGTTATTTGGTTGATGTGTGCCTCCGGTGATGTGCTCGGTGTTATGGTCACCCCAAGGTCTTTCTCCCTGAGTGAGGTCTGTAGTCTTTGTCCACCTAGCCTATACTCTGTCTGCGGTCTTCTTTGCCCCTCCCCAATCTTCATGACTTTGCATTTGGCTGGATTGAATTCGAGAAGCCAGTTACTGGACCACATGTCCAGCCTGTCCAGGTCTCTTTGCAGTCCTGCCTCATCCTCGTCCGATTTAATTCTTCTCATCAACTTCACGTCATCTGCGAACAGGGACACTTCAGAGTCTATTCCTTCCATCATGTCGTTCACATATATCAAAAATAGCACTGGTCCTAGAACTGACCCCTGTGGGACCCCGCTCGTAACAGGCGCCCACTGTGATACCTCTTCACGTACCATGACTCGTTGCTGCCTCCCTGTCAGGTATTCCCTTATCCATTGCAGTGCCCTTCCTTTTACGTGTGCCTGATCCTCCAGCTTCTGCACTAATCTCTTGTGGGGAACTGTGTCAAAGGCCTTCCTGCAGTCTAGGAAAACGCAATCTACCCAACCCTCTCTCTCGTGTCTTACTTCTGTTACCTTGTCATAAAACTCCAGGAGGTTTGTGATACAAGATTTGCCTTCCATGAACCCATGCTGGTTTTCATTTATAATCTTGTTCCTTTCCAGGTGTTCGACCACTCTCCTCCTGATAATCTTCTCCATGACTTTGCACACAATACATGTCAGAGACACAGGTCTCTGTGTGTGTGTGTGTGTGTGTGTGTGTGTGTGTCATGTGGGTTTCGAAAACGTGGATAGGGTAAAAATACTCACGTAGGCTGGTAGTACGTATAATATAACGGAATGTGTGTGAAGACGCCAACCGCCGTCCTGCCTCTCTGCTCTCTATCGTAAGACTAACTGACCCACAGTGCCTATGTGAGGGGGTGTTTGAAATCCTGCTATGGTCAGCAGCATGAATACAGTCAGTGATTCACGCAGAGACGGTTGGTAGTGAGTCATCTACTGGTACACTGGTTACTGGTAACTGGTTACTAGGAACTGGTACTACTACTGAGAGCTCGGCGACGTGTGTGTGTGTGTGTGTGTGTGTGTGTGTGTGTGTGTGTGTGTGTGTGTGTGTGTGTGTGTATGTGTGTGTGTGTGTGTGTGTGTGTGTGTGTGTGTGTGTGTGTGTGTGTAAGTTTACAATAATTTAATAATAAACAAACAATGAAATATTTTTTTCGTTAGGTTCAGAATGATTTTTGCGAAATTATTGCATACACAAATTTTCTCTTGCCTTATTCGGCAAGAAGAGCATTGCTATTTAAGCCAAAATCGCAAGTTTTAAATATTCGGCACGACATATATATATTTACATGAAAGCACTAAATCTGTATGGGTCAAACAATGCTTGGACCATTTTATAAAAATATTGGAGTGAAATGTTGAAGGCAGAGAAGACACAACACAGAGTACAGTTGTCTGTGTGACTTTGTAAGTGACAGATATCTTTTAGAAACTCATGGAACAAGATCCTTCATTATTAATGGAACAAGATCCTTCATTACTCATGGAACAAGATCCTTCATTACTCATGGAACAAGATCCTTCATTATTCATGGAACAAGATTCTTCATTATTCATGGAACAAGATCCTTCATTACTCATGGAACAAGATCCTTCATTATTAATGGAACAAGATCCTTCATTACTCATGGAACAAGATCTTTCATTACTCATGGAACAAGATCCTTCATTATTCATGGAACAAGATCCTTCATTACTCATGGAACAAGATCCTTCATTATTCATGGAACAAGATCCTTCATTACTCATGGAACAAGATCCTTCATTATTCATGGAACAAGATCCTTCATTACTCATGGAACAAGATCCTTCATTGCTCATGGAACAAGATCCTTCATTATTCATGGAACAAGATCCTTCATTACTCATGGAACAAGATCCTTCATTATTCATGGAACAAGATCCTTCATTACTCATGGAACAAGATCCTTCATTATTCATGGAACAAGATCCTTCATTACTCATGGAACAAGATCCTTCATTACTCATGGAACAAGATCCTTCATTACTCATGGAATAAAATCCTTCATTACTCATGGAACAAGATCCTTCATTACTCATGGAACAAGATCCTTCATTACTCATGGAACAAGATCCTTCATTATTCATGGAACAAGATCCTTCATTACTCATGGAACAAGATCCTTCATTAACTCATACTCATGAAACAAGATCCTTCATTACTCATGGAACAAGATCCTTCATTATTCATGGAACAAGATCCTTCATTACTCATGGAACAAGATCCTTCATTACTCATGGAATAAAATCCTTCATTACCCATGGAACAAGATCCTTCATTACTCATGGAACAAAATCCTTCATTACTCATGGAACAAGATCCTTCATTGAAGATTGAGACACTTATGCAGCATATGGGAATCTTTATTCAGGAAACGTTTCGCCACACAGTGGCTTCATCAGTCCAATACAAAGAGGAAGGCGTAAGGAGAGGAGGAGTATGAGGTAATCAGTCCCTCAGCCTGGAGTCGATGTGTTCAGTCCATCAATCTTGTAGATTGATGGACTGAACACATCGACTCCAGGCTGAGGGACTGATTACCTCATACTCCTCCTCTCCTTACGCCTTCCTCTTTGTATTGGACTGATGAAGCCACTGTGTGGCGAAACGTTTCCTGAATAAAGATTCCCATATGCTGCATAAGTGTCTCAATCTTCAACTTGTCGGTTTTTCAAACCATTCATCACAAGATCCTTCATTACTCATGGAACATCCTTCATTACTCATGAAACAAGATCCTTCATTACTCATGGAACAAGATCCTTCATTACTCATGGAATAAGATCCTTCATTACTCATGGAACAAGATCCTTCATTACTCATGGAACAAGATCCTTCATTATTCATGGAACAAGATCCTTCATTACTCATGGAACAACATCCTTCATTACTCATGAAACAAGATCCTTCATTACTCATGGAACAAGATCCTTCATTATTCATGGAACAAGATCCTTCATTACTCATGGAACAACATCCTTCATTACTCATGAAACAAGATCCTTCATTACTCATGGAACAAGATCCTTCATTACTCATGGAATAAGATCCTTCATTACTCATGGAACAAGATCTTTCATTACTCATGGAACAAGATCCTTCATTACTCATGAAACGATCCTTCATTACTCATGGAACAAATCCTTCATTACTCATGGAATAAGATCATTCATTACTCATGAAACAAGATCCTTCATTAACTCATACTCATGGAAAAAGATACTTCATTAACTCATACTCATGGAAAAAGATACTTCATTAACTCATACTCATGGAAAAAGATACTTCATTAACTGATACTCATGGAAAAAGATACTTCATTAACTCATACTCATGGAAAAAGATACTTCATTAACTCATACTCATGGAAAAAGATACTTCATTAACTCATACTCATGAAAAAAGATACTTCATTAACTCATACTCATGGAAAAAGATACTTCATTAACTCATACTCATGGAAAAAGATACTTCATTAACTCATACTCATGGAAAAAGATACTTCATTAACTCATACTCATGGAAAAAGATACTTCATTAACTCATACTCATGGAAAAAGATACTTCATTAACTCATACTCATGGAAAAAGATACTTCATTAACTCATACTCATGGAAAAAGATACTTCATTAACTCATACTCATGGAAAAAGATACTTCATAAACTCATACTCATGGAAAAAGATACTTCATTAACTCATACTCATGGAAAAAGATACTTCATTAACTCATACTCATGGAAAAAGATACTTCATAAACTCATACTCATGGAAAAAGATACTTCATTAACTCATACTCATGGAAAAAGATACTTCATTAACTCATACTCATGGAAAAAGATACTTCATTAACTCATATTCATGGAAAAAGATACTTCATTAACTCATACTCATGGAAAAAGATACTTCATTAACTCATACTCATGGAAAAAGATACTTCATTAACTCATACTCATGGAAAAAGATACTTCATTAACTCATACTCATGGAAAAAGATACTTCATTAACTCATACTCATGGAAAAAGATACTTCATTAACTCATACTCATGGAAAAAGATACTTCATTAACTCATACAGGTAAAAGTAAAACTACTGAAAATCTACATAAATACATTTATTTTAAAACTGGACATAATATTTCCCCTCATGTGCCAGCGTTGACACACTCCTCGATCATTTCTGAAACAAGTGAAAATATATACTGTTAGCAACTTTCCAAAGAAATATGTTTCAAAATCCATGATATCACAGAAAGAGGAATTATCAGCATTCAGTTGTAAGGAATGATCAGAAGCTGATGGAGGAACTGGAGTGGTGGAGGAACTGGAGTGGTGGAGGGGTGGGTGTTGTAGAGGTGGTGGTGGTAGTGTCCTGATAGGCTACAACATGTAGACGGGTTTGTTTACATACAAGGACAGCACCACCTGTCCTCCACTGCCCTGGGTGACTTCACCAACACCACTGTGTCTTGCACTGCACTCTCACTGCTCCTGCTGCTGCCACTACCCAGTAACTAGCCACTATCCATTTCACTCTCAGAAGCACTATACTTGAAGTAAGGGTTACCCTCCATGGATGAGGTGGACCAACACGATGCCATGGGAGGGCGTGTGTGGGCGGCACTACCCTGGGTATGGCTACAAGCACCCCCAGAGTCTGATGAAACCTGGTCGCCACCAGAGTCGAGGCTGCTCATAAAAATTAGTAGTGGGCAGCTGCAGGCAGTGTGAGATGTTGGTAGCGAGGGTGTTAGTGGGAGGATAGCCTCCAGGCAGGAGACGGTGGAAGTAGAGGCACTACGGGGCTTTGGTGGTAAGGGAAACGAGACAGTAGTATCTTGGTTATTGGTGTGCTCCAGGTACTTGTAGGAATGGGAGTCCAATATAGGCATCCTGTAGTTAGTAAGGTGAGAAGCTTGCTCGCCTTCCTTCAGGCAGCAACTGGTTATGAGTCTCCAAGACTCATTGGTTAGTGTAGCATGATGACTGTCTAAGCTTGATGGTGCCTGTTTCTTTATGGGTTGTCCAAGCTCTGAGGTTAGTTGAGGAGTCTGGGCATGAGGGTAGCTGCTGGGGTTGGCCTCCACTGAGGGTATCCAGGAGTCAGTAGTTAATGCAGGGGTGACCGAGGGAAAAGAGTCTACTACTATGGCTCTCGTACGAGTGGTCACAGAGCCATTGTGATTGATGCCCAGGCGTGCCACCGGAGTCCAGTAAGGTTCACTGTCAGACTCTATGGAAGAGGTTTGTCCTGGGGAGCGATAGGAGGAGGTGTATGTAGGTTTCTCACTGAAGCTTAGCTGTGAGTCACCACTGCTGAGCACAGTGTGTGCAGGTGCTGGAAAAATACTCAGAGGGAGAACACAATTAGAGTGGTGGTGGCAGCAGACAGCAGCATTGGAAGCCCCATGCGAGGAAAGGGAAGGTTGAGGCATGAATGTGGGTGTCTGCAGGTGGGAAGTAACACTGCAGCAGACAAGGGTGGGTAGGCTCCTGCATGTGAGTGACACTAAGCAACTTACTCTGGGAGGCCAGGAGCGGCGATCACTGACGCCTCGGGGGTGTAGGCTGGCTTGGCACCAGTGGCCACAGTCTTGTGTTGTTCCAGCATGCACCTGTGGCAGCGGCAGCAGTGGTGGCGGCACTGGCGTATCCGAGCAGAAGGTGCACTCGTCACCTTCCATGGGTTTCTCGATTAGTAACTTTTCTTGTTGTCTGCGCTTAAGCTGTTTCACGGAGGTGGGTTTATGGGAGGGCAAGGCAGAGAGAGCCTCACTCACAGGAACTGGGTGCCCAAGAGAAGTCTCACATGTGGGAAATGGGTATCCCAGTGATACATCACTTGTAGGAAGTGGGTATCCCAGGGAAGCCTCACTTGCAAGAAGTGGGTATCCCATGGAAACCTCATTTGCAGGAAGAGGATAACCCAAAGGAGGCTCCACCTCACCCCTTTCAGTTCTATGGTTGGGAATTGTGCACGAATAGTTACTGGTATAGCATGGGTAGTTTTCTGGCAGCCAGGTACTGCCAGGTGCAAAGCTATTACTATACTGTGGGGGAGCTGGAAGAAGTGGAAAAATTTCTTGGTAAGACTCCTCGACTTTCCCCTTCCCTTCACTCACACCTTGCTCCATCACTGGCAAATGATTCTCACCCTCTGCTGCCTTGCAATTTGGAGTACCAACCAGATAAAATTGCATTTCTTTTACATCAGTTGAGATTTCTACAGGAGAGTAAGGATGGGTACTGGGCAAGTCCTGTGTGTTTGTAGGGAGAGTTAAGGGCATGGTGGGTTGTGACAACACAGCAGTCGTAGGATGGGAAAAATTTTCATGTCTACTGGAAGATGGTGGAAGTCGGTGGCCACCAGTGTTGGTGTCACGGGATGTGTTGAGTTTGCGTTGCACCCAGCGTGGAGGCGGGACTGGTGGCCCACCAGAGCTTTCCTGAGTGTAAATGCTATTATCGAGAGTATGACTTTTGAGGGGTTGGAAGTGATCTTCCTGGTGAAAGGTGGGTGTTGCAACCGGAGGTGGGTCTTCATCTGATGTATTGATGCAGAAGGCTGGGGCAGCATAGTACTCCCCAGAGCTATAGTAAGTATCAGGACCGTCACTGTCACTAGTCGGGATGTGTGTCACTACAGTAGCAACCCGACCACTTTTCACGTTGTAAACACCAGCACAGCTCTCTTTGTCTACTCCCATGGAGCATCCTCTATCTAAATGTGAAAGACACTGAGGAATGCAAAAATTGGCCCTCTTATTGTGCTGGGAACATTCATGCTGCAAGACTTCATGTGGCTGTCTAGTATTCTGGTTTGCCTTTTTCATCTCAGTGTCGCTCCTAGGGGCCAAATATTTACTAGCTTTTCTTAAGCTGTTCTTGAATGCAGCTACAAAAGTTTTCTCTGAGCCTCTCTGGGGTCGTTGAGAACCACTAGGCAAGGCAGAACAATCCGACTCTCTGGAAGAGCCTGGCTCCCCTTCACACTCACTTCCCTCAACTAGGTATTCTTCAGGATGTTGCTGGTGATGCAATGCATCCTCAGGTTCACTTAAAATATCATCACTAGGCTCTTCAACGAACAAATCTTCATCATCATCCTCAAACATTATCATCAGAGCTCCCTGTCCTAAGCTCTGAAAGTCTTCAAATCCCTCAAAGTCAACAGAAGACATACCATCATCTTCATGCCAGATGTAACCCAGAAGTGAATGATCTCCACCATAGAGCAAGGCACATCTAGTCTCCTCTCTGCTGGCTTCCATGTGTCCAATGTCACCACTACCCACATATGTGGAGGCTGGACTATCATGTGCTACACAGTCTTTATGTGTAACACTTTCACTCACATGGTCACTCACTCTAGGGTGTCGAGTCTCAGGAACACTACTACTCACAACCTCCTCCTCCAGTGTGGTCACTGGTAAATTTAAACTACTCAAATCCAGTTGTTCTTCACAAGCACATGAATGATCTCGCACCTTACTATGTTTTCTTTTATTTTCACGAGACCTGTTTAAAATATTGTAATCTTTAGATCGCTTCCCATCCAAAGAACGGCACTTGCGCTCGCCTGGCTTGAGCTTGATTTTGGTTTTGACAAAGAGGAAGTCAGCAGAATCACTTGAAGAAACAACTTCAGAATCACTCTCATCCTCACTGGCAGAATCCTCATATTCCTGAACCTCCAGTCGGGTCATAAGGCTTAGATGTTTGGTCTTAGCAGAAAGCACTGCTGGGAAGACATGTGACAGTAGGAACCCTCTGAGATTCTCGAGATCTTGAGATCTTAGTGCTGAAGCTTCAGTCATACACCCAACTTCTATGTCTCTAGTGTCACCCTCTTCTTCATTATCCTCACCTAGTTCTCTCTCAAATTTCTTAAGCTTCTCCTCAAGCCGGCGCATGTCTGCATCAACGGAATCAAAGTCTTCATCACTCTCATAGCCTGTAGGATCCTCTTCACTCTCTGGTTCCTTGAGAGCAAGAAGTGCCCGCCATTGTGCCTCCTCTTTGTCTTCATCTAGAGGCAGCAGGTCACGCTGTGCTATGGGGCCTCCACCGGAGGTCCACCAGGCTTCAGATCCCGTTGATGATGCTGAAGCAGAAGCTAGCATATCAGGATCAGTAATGTGGCCTGATGATGCAGAACCATCTTCAGGCACCTCACTCCCTGTTCTCTGGGTGGCAACAGGTAGATGATGTGTGTTTTGAAGTATAAGTTCTGATGCCCCTCCAGAGGCACTTACTGACAAAGTACTTGATATGCCACCCGAGTGGGTGCTAAGCATGTATACTGATGATACACATGAGGTGTCTGAAGAATGAATGTCAGATGTGCTCACTGATAATGCCCCAGAAGCTACCACTTCTTGGGCAAGAGTTGTAAAAGAAGTAAGCTGAGTGTTTGCTGGGGAACTGGTGTGGGTCTGATATATGAGCTCAGGGTCAGACATACCCTCCATAATCTCAACTACACCTTTGGCAAACTCTAAGGTATCGCTAGCATCGAGGAATACATCCTCAGGATCCTCATAGGCAGGGAGTGGGTGATTGTGGCAGTCAGCAGGGGTGTCCACACGCACTACTGTAGCAATGCTGGCAGAACTGTGGCTAAAACCATGACTAGGATCTGGTGTGACCACTTCCAGAGCCTGCTCATACTCCTCTACCGAGTCATCTCTTTCAAGGGAAGGGTTGCCTTCACTACATGTGACTCCTAACAAAGATAAAGCTGCATTAGTACTCTTAATACCATCAAGCTGGTAATGCATCTCACCTCCACTATCCACAGAGTCACTATATTCACTTTCATCAGCTGAGCTGTTAGTGGTAATAGGTTTTTCAATAAGAGAGAAATGCACCCCATCACAACTGTCAGTGAAGGTTATCCTTGGCTTTAGGGTTGGCAAGTGTGAAGGTAAAAGTTCAGATGTACCATCAATGTGCTGACTTAGTGTACAATGGTCATCAGCACTTTCAGTGTCAGTTGTATCTTCTAGTCTATTCCAGTCTTGTCTTATATCAACAGAAACATCTGGTGCTTTTTCATTCCCCAGAAGAGACAAGTCTATGCCAGACTCACATTCATCTATGTAGAGAAGATTGTATTCATGATTCATGAGTGTGGAGGATGTTCGGAAGGAGTGGGGATGCTCCTGATTAGCAGTTTGATCTAACTGAGATGTCTTCTGGGTCATCAATATGACAGCAGCAGGCATTTGTGGCCAGTGCTCTATACCCTCACTTGTCACTTCATTACGGTTCTTCTGTGCAGGTTGTCCTTTTTGCTGTTCATCTTGCTTCCCTACTTCCTGTTTCTCATTCTCTTGTTCCTGCCCCTCAGACTCATGCTTCTGCTTTTCAGGTCCCTGTTCCACCTCTTGTTCCTGCTTCAGTTTTTTTTGTTCCTTCTCCCACATGTTTTGTTCCTCTTCCTGCTTGCCTTGCTGCATCTGCTTCTTTTGTCCCTCATCTTGCTCCTCTTGTCCTTGCTTATGTTTTGCTTGTTCCAGTTTCTGATGTTGCTCGTGTTCCATTAAAAAGCTATTCAAATTATCAGGAATGTCTTTCGAACATCGAGGTGGAGTTTCAGTTCTACTTGGTTGTGAAGTCACCCCATCCCTGGGGATATTCTTATGTCTGTCAGCTGTTTCAGCGCTTATCACTGGAATCGCCACCAATGCTGGAGGTTGTGGGCTGCCATTCAACAGACTGTCTGTGAAAGAATCTATGGTTAGCTTGATTTTATTTTCCAAAACAGGGTCCAGTGGAAGAATAGGTGGAGAAGGGACAGGCGATAATTCTCTGTCATTCTCGAATCTGCTATCTGGTTCTTCTCTTGTAGTATCATTGGTGGCCAGTACTTGTGTATATACAGGTACATGGTTGGACAAGTTGCAACTAATGCCAGATACGGACTTAGATCTAGCACCATCGTCAGAATAGCTAGCAGGGATTCGGGGCACATGACCCAGAGATAAGAGTCTGTGTCTAGTAAGCCCTGAGGAGTGTTCACTAGTCTTCTGTTGTTGCTGCTGAAGCTTAGTGCAACAGACAATATCCAGGGGGAACCTGGTGGACCGTCGGTGGGATTGTGTCCCTTCTTTCTGCTGGCGGGTGATCAATGCTGCTCGTTCACTGACTCGAGAGCATCGACCTACTAAACTGGTAGTTGGGGTGACATCCAACGTACCTGCTGGGCTTCTCACTGGCTCTCTTACTGCTGATCTCTCTCTCATGTCACAGCTCCTTACTAATGCACTACCAAAGGCATTTTTCAGCACTGTAGAGGCCTCTTCATTACAACTGTTTTTCAACTCTTTCACTGCATTTCCACTCAAAGAAATTGACACTGCCACTGCATCAGGCTCTTCAAGTACTTCTGACACTGCCACTGCATCAGGCTCTTCACACACATCTGACACTGACACTACATCAGGCTCTTCACACACATCTGACACTGCCAGTACATCAGGCTCTTCAAGTACTTCTGACACTGCCAGTACATCAGGCTCTTCACACACATCTGACACTGCCACTACATCAGGCTCTTCACACACTTCTGACACTGCTACTACATCAGGCTCTTCAAGTACTTCTGACACTGCCACTACATCAGGCTCTTCAAGTACTTCTGACACTGCCACTACATCAGGCTCTTCACACACATCTGACACTGCCACTACATCAGGCTCTTCAAGTACTTCTGACACTGCCACTACATCAGGCTCTTCAAGTACTTCTGACACTGCCACTGCATCAGGCTCTTCAAGTACTTCTGACACTGCCACTGCATCAGGCTCTTCACACACATCTGACACTGACACTACATCAGGCTCTTCACACACATCTGACACTGCCAGTACATCAGGCTCTTCACACACATCTGACACTGCCACTACATCAGGCTCTTCACACACTTCTGACACTGCCATTACATCAGGCTCTTCAAGTACTTCTGACACTGCCACTACATCAGGCTCTTCAAGTACTTCTGACACTGCCACTACATCAGGCTCTTCACACACATCTGACACTGCCACTACATCAGGCTCTTCAAGTACTTCTGACACTGCCACTACATCAGGCTCTTCAAGTACTTCTGACACTGCCACTACATCAGGCTCTTCAAGTGCTTCTGACACTGCCACTACATCAGGCTCTTCACACACTTCTGACACTGCCACTACATCAGGCTCTTCAAGTACTTCTGATACTGACACTACATCAGGCTCTTCACACACTTCTGACACTGCCACTACATCAGGCTCTTCAAGTACTTCTGACGCTGCCACTACATCAGGCTCTTCAAGTACTTCTGACACTGCCACTACATCAGGCTCTTCACACACATCTGACACTGCCACTACATCAGGCTCTTCACACACTTCTGACACTGCCACTACATCAGGCTCAAGTGCTTCTGACACTGCCACTACATCAGGCTCTTCACACACTTCTGACACTGCCACTACATCAGGCTCTTCAAGTACTTCTGACACTGACACTACATCAGGCTCTTCACACACTTCTGACACTGCCACTACATCAGGCTCTTCAAGTACTTCTGACACTGCCACTACATCAGGCTCTTCAAGTACTTCTGACACTGCCACTACATCAGGCTCTTCACACACATCTGACACTGCCACTACATCAGGCTCTTCAAGTACTTCTGACACTGCCACTACATCAGGCTCTTCAAGTACTTCTGACACTGCCACTACATCAGGCTCTTCAAGTACTTCTGACACTGCCACTACATCAGGCTCTTCAAGTACTTCTGACACTGCCACTACATCAGGCTCTTCAAGTACTTCTGACACTGCCACTACATCAGGTTCTTCAAGTACTTCTGACACTGCCAGTGGTGACGAGGTTGGTAGTGACGTGTGAGTCTGAACCAGTGGTGACGAGGTTGGTAGTGACGTGTGAGTCTGAACCAGTGGTGACGAGGTTGGTAGTGACGTATGAGTCTGAACCAGTGGTGACGAGGTTTGTAGTGACGTGTGAGTCTGAACCAGTGGTGACGAGGTTGGTAGTGACGTGTGAGTCTGAACCAGTGGTGACGAGGCTGGTAGTGACGTGAGAGTTTGAACCAGTGGTGACGAGGTTGGTAGTGACGTGTGAGTCTGAACCAGTGGTGACGAGGTTGGTAGTGACGTGTGAGTCTGAACCAGTGGTGACGAGGCTGGTAGTGACGTGAGAGTTTGAACCAGTGGTGACGAGGTTGGTAGTGACGTGTGAGTCTGAACCAGTGGTGACGAGGTTGGTAGTGACGTGAGAGTTTGAACCAGTGGTGACGAGGTTGGTAGTGACGTGTGAGTCTGAACCAGTGGTGACGAGGCTGGTAGTGACGTGAGAGTTTGAACCAATGGTGACGAGGTTGGTAGTGACGTGAAAGTTTGAACCAGTGGTGACGAGGTTGGTAGTGACGTGTGAGTCTGAACCAGTGGTGACGAGGCTGGTAGTGACGTGAGAGTTTGAACCAGTGGTGACGAGGTTGGTAGTGACATGTGAGTCTGAACTAGTGGTGACGAGGCTGGTAGTGACGTGAGAGTTTGAACCAGTGGTGACGAGGTTGGTAGTGACGTGTGAGTCTGAACCAGTGGTGACGAGGCTGGTAGTGACGTGTAAGTCTGAATCAGTGGTGACGAGGCTGGTAGTGACGTGTGAGTCTGAGCCAGTGGTGACGAGGCTGGTAGTGACGTGTGAGTCTGAATCAGTGGTGACGAGGCTGTTAGTGACGTGTGAGTCTGAACCAGTGGTGACGAAGTTGGTAGTGACGTGTGAATCTCAACCAGTGGTGACGAGGCTGGTAGTGAAGTGTGAGTCTGAACCAGTGATGACGAGGTTGGTAGTGACGTGTGAGTCTGAACCAGTGGTGACGAGGCTGGTAGTGACGTGTAAGTCTGAACCAGTGGTGACGAGGTTGGTAGTGACGTGTGAGTCTGAACCAGTGGTGACGAGGTTGGTAGTGACGTGTGAATCTCAACCAGTGGTGACGAGGCTGGTAGTGACGCGTGAGTCTGAGCCAGTGGTGACGAGGTTGGTAGTGACGTGTGAGTCTGAACCAGTGGTGACGGGGCTGGTAGTGACGTGTGAGTCTGAACCAGTGGTGACGAGGTTGGTAGTGACGCGTGAGTCTGAACCAGTGGTGACGAGGTTGGTAGTGACGTGAGAGTCTGAACCAGTGGTGACGAGGCTGGTAGTGACGTGTGAGTCTGAACCAGTGGTGACGAGGTTGGTAGTGACGTGAGAGTCTGAACCAGTGGTGACGAGGTTGGTAGTGACGTGTGAGTCTCAACCAGTGGTGACGAGGTTGGTAGTGACGTGAGAGTCTGAACCAGTGGTGACGAGGCTGGTAGTGACGTGTGAGTCTGAACCAGTGGTGACGAGGTTGGTAGTGACGTGAGAGTCTGAACCAGTGGTGACGAGGTTGGTAGTGACGTGTGAGTCCGAACCAGTGGTGACGAGGCTGGTAGTGACGTGTGAGTCTGAACCAGTGGTGACGAGGTTGGTAGTGACGTGTGAGTCCGAACCAGTGGTGACGAGGTTGGTAGTGACGTGAGAGTCTGAACCAGTGGTGACGAGGCTGGTAGTGACGTGTGAGTTTGAACCAGTGGTGACGAGGTTGGACTATGGCAAGATTCTACTGACTCTGCTGCTGTCACTTTGTACATATGACTATGATCAATTTCTATGGCACTAAGGCAAGGTTCTGGTGAACCAGTCTCTCTCTCTGAGAACCTCTGACTAAGGGAAAGGATTGGTGAGCTATTTTCTGTGTGTAAGGACCTGTGCTTGCTGCAAGCTTCTGATGGGCTGGCTCCTGTGTGTAAGGATTGTTTTTTATTTTGTCCGGATTTTTTAGCCATGATCAGTGCAGGTGTTGGTTCTGCTTTATTTAAATTGGACGTTGTTGTTGCAGTCTTTGTCTGTGGGAGTTTATTCTGACTGTAAAAGGGTATTTTTTCTGTGTTTACCTCTGGGGGGCGTTGTTCGCTGTAACACTGTTCTCTTCTGTTGATAACTGCTTGGGAGGGCTCTTTCTGAAGAAGACATATCTCCTTTGTGGTATCTATTTTTTGTAAAGGCTCCTTTTGAATACAGGAATATTGTATCAGATCTTTACCTGTTTGTGTGCGCCCTGTCTGATGCAGGTGGGGACCTCTTGTATCAAGAGCCGCCTTAGAAGGCACAGATTTATTACGAAGAATGGTTGCAGTTGGTAATGCTTGTCTTAGGCCTGCTTGGCTCTGGCACGGTGTTGTTGTAGCTGTGATTCTTTGTGGTAGGCCTACTTGACTTTTGCAAGCCTGTATTGTGGTCATTGCCTTTGGCAGCCTTGTGTCTGTCTGGCAGACTTGCGTGTGTGCTACCTGAGCAACTCCTGCTGAGAAGGGTAACTTCTTCAGCCAAGCTTGTATTATTGCTCGCCCATCTTCAGCAGAGCGTGGCGTCCTCTTCTCTGGGATGTTGGTTCCCACTTGTAAACTGCTACATAATGGTGGCTGAGGAATGTTAGTATGCGGTGATGCTGACACGAAGGCAGGTATGGGCTCAACGATCCTCAACCAGGGTATATCCGCAACAGATTCCTGTGTCACTGCCTCAGAAGTATGAGCTTGTAGTCTTTGTGGTTCTCCTTCACCGTGGTAATGCACTGTGTCGGTCTCCATCACGGCATCCTGGGAAGACATGTCTCCAAGTACTGCTGATGCTGCACACCTGGACTCATCTGACTGCACTTGATGAACGGTATTAGGCCTTGTGCCTGGTGGAGTCATGTGTGAGGTAGTGGCGTTGCTGTAGGTAGCACCTACGGATGTTTCACTTCCAGCGCTACTTTCTTTAGCTGTAGATCTAACTGTGGCAGTGATGTTATGGCCATTTGTTGAGGTGGGAAGACAAGAGGTTGTGCTAGTGTTCTCTTCACCAGGTACCCCACTGACATTTCCAGGGGCAGTGGCACGTTGCGACACAGACGTGAAGTTATTAGTATCTGTGTTACATACGAGGGCCCTAACAGCCCTGTCATTACGTGCCTGCTGGGAGGGCGTCAGCCCCACCTCCCAGGCAGGTGATGTGTGCGAGGCCTCTAATTTAGATCTCTCGTTTACTACCCCTTCCAAGACACCACTGTAAAGAGCTTCACCAGGAACGTTTGTGTCAGACAGCAAAGAACGTGTTACTTGGCTAGTAGGGGCTCCAGTATAGGGTCGAGGAGTAGCGTTTCCACAGGTATCTCTTTGTACAGGGGCACCCGGCACGCTCCGGGAAAAAGCAGCTGGTGTGTGGAGAGAGGAATGGCCGGCACTGGATGTGCTGGAGGCTGGCACAGGAGTGGAAGACACAGAGGACCACTGGGGAAACTGCGAAGTGGGTGACCAAGGCGTAAACGAAGTGTGTTGCGCCTCCCTTCCCACCCCACCACAACCCCCACACTCCATCCCTGCCTCCCTCCCCACACCATCACCCCCAAACTCCTCCCCTACACCACCACATTCCACCTCAGTATCATAATATACATCAACAGGTGTGTGTGTAGCCAAGTTGCTTCTGCCAAGTTTTCTCTCTCGTGTCTGCTGAACTGATGCTGTACACTGCTGCAACGTTGGCTCTGCTGCAGCCATAGCTGTGTCTATGCAGGTAGTTGTTGCTAATACTACTTCTTGTGGGCACGGGGATAGCGACGACTGTCTGTAGTGTGGCACTTTCCGTGGCAGTGTATGGCATCGGAAGAGCGGGTATGGGTCGGGGGAGGCAGGACGGGAGCCCAAGTTGACACCACAAAGTTTGATGAAGGCACCGTCAGCGTCATCTTGTGGTCCCGGGGTACTGCTCCTGGTGTCACAGCTGCGGTACATCCACATGTCACCCATGTCAGAGTTCCTGTTGGCTCGCTGTCTCTGCCAGCTTGAGTCTTCCTTCACCCGGAAAGTCACATTGTTGGTCAAGTCTCGTGTTGATGAGCTCTTGTTACTGGCGAACAATGGCACTAAGTTCTTCACCTTCACCTGCTCTTTGGCGTCAACTTTGAACCCGTATATCGAACTGGGGATCCTGGGGGTGTCATGTGTGTCACTCATGGCACTGGTAGGAGGGCAGGGGGGCGCAGAGCCCGCCATACTGTTGTCCCTACTCATGCTCACTAGTTCTCCCACGCTATTTATAGCGGCGTGCCAGCCCTGGCCTGCCAACACTAGTTTCCACCTATCATTAACATCATAGTGGCACTGATGAGCAGTGCCGTAGAGAGGATAGTACCATAACACGTCCCCCACAAGCACCAGAAGTGAGCCAATCACTTCCTCTGGGCAGCAAGCGAGGTGTGCCGCACCCACCACGCCATAACCACAACTGCCCGCCGACCTGCCGCCAGTGCCAGCCTGCTGTGGCACTTGGCACTCCTGCCCACGCTGCCAGGAGACCAGGTCGCAGCAGCACCCCAGTGGCGTTGTCTCACACGGTACATGTTCTAGCAGACAGCGAGACTGCTCACTCAAAGTGCGAGTGTGAGAGAGAGGCAAGCAAGATGGTACAGTACCTGCTAGGGTATCGTCAGGGCACTCCTCTAATACGATAGCTGGGCGGGCATGGACCAGCCCAGATCCCTGCCCCAACTTGTCCTCACACTCACTCTGCCTCCCGAGGAAGACGTGTTGGTAGTGATGTTCTTTGAGGCAGTGTTCAGAGCTGGAGTAATCTTGGCTGATACCGCCCCACACGTCACTGCAGACGTCACTGCTACTCCCTGACTCACCTATGCAGGGTGACACAAGAGGTGCGCCAGCAAAGCAGGGCATGAGAGTGTGAGCAGGTGAACTCAGAGCAGCAGGTGAACTCAGAGCAGCAGGTGAACTCAGAGCAGCAGATGAACTCAGAGCAGGTAGTGCAGAGGCAGACACACATCCTACTTGCTCTCTCCTCATCCAAATCTCAGTCACTACATTACCAACACCTTTGTTCACTTCACCTTCCTTCACCACTTCACAACTGTCAGCCCCTGAGTCAGGCAGTGTGTCAACCTGTTCCTCACCCTGAGGGTTTGCCTTTGTGTCAGCTAAACAATCATCATGATACGATGCAAGGAGTAATGTTTTAGGTAAAGTACAGCCTTGCAGGGCCAGCGATCCTGGGAGGTGTGTAGTAGACGCTTGTGTTGCCTCCACGGAGGAATGAGGTGCCTGGCACTCCATAGTGCCGCTGCTCCCCTTCATAACACACGTGGGAGGCACCCATAGTGCCTCCAGTGGTGGTGATAGCGGGGCCAGCTGTTGAGGATAAACCAGACTAGGAGTGAGGGGAGGGATAGTGAGGGGAGAAACACTGGGGTAAGGGACACGGGGAGGAGGGAAGGGTGCGTAGGCAGCATCAGCAGAACATTGATGACTGCTACACACAACACTTACGGGAACTACACATTCCAACGGAGACTGTGGGGGGCTAGGTAAAACAAGTGTCTTTATTAAACTTGTAGTATCATCACTGTTGATAATATCTGTGCCACTACCCACGTCACTGTTAATGACAGTGCCACCACCCACGTCACTCTTGATGGTAGTGCCACTACCCACGTCACTCTTGATGGTAGGGCCATCACCCACGTCACTCTTGATGGTAGTGCCACCACCCACGTCACTCTTGATTGTAGTGCCACCACCTACGTCACTCTTGATGGTAGTGCCACTACTCACGTCACTGTTAATGGTAATGCCACCACCCACGTCACTGTTAATGATACTTCCACCACCCACGTCACTGTTAATGATACTTCCACCACCCACGTCACTGTTACCGGCACACTCCTCCCTCGTATGAGTTTGGTCATATTCCACCACGTCAGGTATTGTTTCCACTAAAACACATGTATCAATATCTGCCTGAGCATGTTCTTGCACCTGGTGTACAATACCTGTCACAGTGTCTGCTGTGTCGTCTTGCTTATGTAAACCTGTCTGTGATGGGACACTTGTCTTCGATGAAACATCTGTCTGTGATTGGACACCTGTCAGTGATGGAACACCTGTCTGTGATGGAACACCTATCCAACAGGGAAGTCTAGAGATGTCATCCCCATCTGAGTGGTCCTTAACAGTGTGAGACAGATCTCTCAGACGAGCATTATGGTCACTGTTGTCCACAGGTGAGTGAAACAGGTCTCTCAGACGGGCGCCATGGTCACTGTCATCTAGGTGGATGACAGTGGTACCTCCTCGGCCAGCTTTTCTTAGTCCAGCACCACCGTCAGTGAAAGTGGCAGCCATGGGAGCTACAGTGTGCCGCCTGTCGTAGTAGAAGAGGTGAGGGCAGGAGTGGACAAGGCGACACACACCCGTGGATGGCACTTGCTGGTGATGGCACAGTTCCTGGGGCACTGGGGACGAAGTTTGAGGTGTGGTCCGCCCATACTTTTTCCGCAACAACACAGATCTTTGCTCCTCCGTCTTATCAACAGCTGGCTCCTCCCGGCGTCTGAGCTCTGGCACCAGCTGTCGTTGTGTAGATGAATGTGTAACGACACCCTGGGCACTACACTCACGTTCAACCCACTTGCCCTCCTGGCCAGGGTTCAGGATACCATTGCCCTCTCTGCTGGGTATGAAGAAGCACTCTGCATTGATGTTATCCCATGCCCCCATACAAGTAGCTGAGTGCCATGGTTGTAGAGTGCCGGAGAGAGTGCCCCGCGTGTTGTAGCACTTATCTCCACACACTGTACAACCCAGGCTCCGCCCTGCCAGCCGCTCACATACTACTAATAAACCCTGCATATGAGGCTCCATGCAGGCAGTGTGACCTGGCACATCTCTGGCCAACACATCTTGGCACAGGGCCGCACACTGTCCACGTAATAACTGTACTGCCAACACACTTGCTCTGTTGCTTTCATCTTCACTGGTAGGTCTACCAGCATCAGCTGATGCCTCGTAGGAGAGGTTACGCTGCCGGAGGATATGTGAAGGTGAAAACTTACTGGACCTGTGCTCATTCTCAGCATCAGTGCCACAGTCAGCATCAGCAGCAGAGATCTGACAGCAGAAGCACCCACTACCTCCCCTATTCTCACTACCAACGTCACCAGAACCACACGTCTTGAAATTCAAGGCTGGCTCCCCAGAATGTAGGAGCTCTCTTGCAAAAGTTTTATCGAGGCTTGGATGAGAGCCACTAGAGGAGGACAGGCTGGTGTCAAGGGGCCAAGTGTCAGCAAGTGCCTCAGCATCATCTAGCGATCTAGTGCCACTTTCATACTCGCCCGTAGCCCTCAAACCATCCTTCTTACCTCTACCGGTACTCAAGTATGTCTCCTGCTCACACCCGTTACTTGTACCCGTATTCAAGCATGTCTCCTGATCGCACCTGTTACTTGTACCTGTACTCAAGCATGTCTCCTGCTCACACCCGTTACTTGTACCTGTACTCAAGCATGTGTCCTGCTCACGCCCGTTACTTGTACCTGTACTCAAGCATGTCTCCTGCTCACACCCGTCCTCCTCACCTCTCTTACAGTCACTCGAGTAAGCATGAGCATGTGGTAAATATAGGCTGACACATTCACGGAAACCAGACTGTGTACCGAGGGGATTATCCTGACACAGAAGAGCTGTTGATACAGTAAGTGTGACAGTAGTAATAGTGTTACTACTAGCAGACAGCCATGGAGCAGCAGTAGAAACACTGTTACTACCAGCAGACAGCCAGGGAGCAGCAGTAGAAACACTGTTACTACCAGCAGACAGCCAGGGAGCAGCACTAGTAACACTGTTACTACCAGCAGACAGCCAGGGAGCAGCACTAGTAACACTGTTACTACCAGCAGACAGCCAGGGAGCAGCACTAGTAACACTGTTACGACCAGCAGACAGCCAGGGAGCAGCTGCAGTAACAATGTTACCACCAGCAGACAGCCAGGGAGCAGCAGTAGTAACACTGTTACTACTAGCAGACAACCAGGGAGCAGCAGTAGTAACACTGTTACTACCAGCAGACAGCCAGGGAGCAGCACTAGTAACACTGTTACGACCAGCAGACAGCCAGGGAGCAGCTGCAGTAACAATGTTACCACCAGCAGACAACCAGGGAGCAGCAGTAGTAACACTGTTACTACCAGCAGACAACCAGGGAGCAGCAGTAGATGAGGTAACGGAAGTAGCAGGGAAGTAACAAGTGTTACTGTAAGTAACGGAGTGAAGACCAGTGACTTCCACCTCACAGGTGTTAGACATGAGGTGACAACAATGAGTGTGAGGTGAACCTGAGTGTATATGGCACTGAGAGGGCGCCGGGGAGACGCACAAGCCGGTACCACCATAGGTTGTTGCACTGGTGCCACGTACACTGCATATATCACAAAACTGGTGAGAGAGATGTGCCACTGCCAGGATGTGTTGGCCCTGGCACTCACGTCCCGCCTCTACCTTCACCAGAGGTCGAGATGACTGGCTCTGGCACTCATGTCTCTCCTCTACCTTCACCAGAGGTTGATATGACTCTGAGGTACAACACAAGGTTCTTGTGACAGCCTGGTCTCCTCCCCCTCTATCAGCTATTCCTTTAGCATTACATACGACACTGTCATCGCTTTCAGATTCTAGCGACTTGTCTGGCCCATGAAGGCAGTGTGCTGGCAACACTGTTGATGCAGTGTTACCATGCTGGGTCAAACACACTGTTGCTGACTGTAGCAAGCAGAAAGGCTGTAACTGCTGCTTCCTTCCTGCCGGTGTTTCGTATTCTAATGATTTCTCTTGCGGTGATGGGTGACCTGGTGGTGACTCTGCTGGTGACTGGGTGTTGGAAGCACGTGGTGACCATACTGACACAGGCAACAACTGTGTCGTGGGTGTAGACACACATGAGCCACCTGGCTCACTAGAAATAACACATGTTGAGTCTTGTAGAAGAGTGTGAGGGGTATGACTATCAACAGCAGGTAGACACACTTGTCCAGTACCAGCAGGTAGACACACTTGTCCAGTACCAGCAGGTAGACACACTTGTCCAGTACCAGCAGGTAGACACACCACTTGTCCAGTACCAGCAGGTAGACACACCACTTGTCCAGTACCAGCAGGCAGACACACCACTTGTCCAGTACCAGTAGGTAGACACACCACTTGTCCAATACCAGCAGGTAGACACACCACTTGACCAGTACCAGCAGGCAGACAAACCACTTGTCCAGTACCAGCAGGTAGACACACCACTTGTCCAGTACCAGTAGGTAGACACACCACTTGTCCAGTACCAGCAGGTAGACACACCACTTGTCCAGTACCAGCAGGTAGACACACCACTTGTCCAGTACCAGCAGGCAGACAAACCACTTGTCCAGTACCAGCAGGTAGACACACCACTTGTCCAGTACCAGTAGGTAGACACACCACTTGTCCAGTACCAGCAGGCAGACACACCACTTGTCCAGTACCAGTAGGTAGACACACCACTTGTCCAATACCAGCAGGTAGACACACCACTTGACCAGTACCAGCAGGCAGACAAACCACTTGTCCAGTACCAGTAGGTAGACACACCACTTGTCCAATACCAGCAGGTAGACACACCACTTGACCAGTACCAGTAGGTAGACAAACCACTTGTCCAGTACCAGCAGGTAGGGGCGTTTCCCCAGTGGTTGCCTCAGAGTTGTCGTCTAGCAAGGCCTGACAAGACGCTAGCAGCTGTTCAGAAGACCACCTAGTCGTCGATGTCGTGTCATTAACAGTGTCGTTGAGGTCGTTTTGCATAAGTGTGTGGAATGCCGCCAGGAGGTCGTCGTCTGAATTACTGCAGTCTTCCAGTAACCTGCCATCCATCTTCGTGCAAGTGTCGTACACACCTCACACCACCACACTCGTCATGCGTATAGGACAACTAGTAAACAACAAACATTGTAAACAATAGTAAACAGTAAACAATAGAGCGCTCATCTAATACACGAAAACTTGGCCACACTTTACACTTTTTCAGGTTCCTCAACTTGAGTCCTGGTGACTGAGATGCAGTCATGTGAGGCAAGGGTGTGGGAGAGGAGGGCGTGCTGAGGTGGGGGCGTGAGAGAAGAGGGCGTGCTGAGGTGGGGGTGTGTGAGGTGCGGGTGTGAGAGAGACTGACACGGGTGGAGGCAGGGACCTGACTTCATCACTATGGATGCAGGCAGTCTTTGCCAGCTCACCTACCCATATGGCAGACTCACCATGCCTCCCCTCACTGCCTCTCCTCACAGCCTCCCCTCACTGCCTCTCCTCACAGCCTCCCCTCACTGCCTCTCCTCACAGCCTCCCCTCACTGCCTCTCCTCACAGCCTTCCCTCACTGCCTCTCCTCACAGCCTTCCCTCACTGCCTCTCCTCACAGCCTTCCCTCACTGCTCCTTCCTCACAAACCTGCCCTCACTGCCTCTCCTCACAGCCTTCCCTCACTGCCTCTCCTCAGATCCTGCCCTCACTGCCTCTCCTCACAGCCTGCCCTCACTGTCTCTCCTCACAGCCTTCCCTCACTGCCTCTCCTCACAGCCTTCCCTCACTGCCTCTCACACAGCCTGCCCTCACTGCCTCACCTCACAGCCTGCCCCTCACTGCCTCTCCTCACAGCCTGCCCTCACAGCCTTCCCTGCCTGCCTCTCCTCACAGCCTGCCCTCACTGCCTCTCCTCACAGCCTGCCCCTCACTGCCTTTCCTCACAGCCTGCCCTCACTGCCTTCCCTCACAGCCTGCCCTCACTGCGTCTCCTCACAGCCTGCCCCTCACTGCCTTTCCTCACAGCCTGCCCTCACTGCCTCTCCTCACAGCTTGCCCCTCACAGCCTTCCTCACAGCCTGCCCTCACTGCCTCTCCTCACAGCCTTCCCTCACTCCCTCTACTCACAGCCTCCCCTCACAGCCTATCCTCACAGCCTGCCCTCACTGCCTTTCCTCACAGCCTGGCCTCAACTGCCTTTCCTCACAGTCCTCCCCTCCACTGCCTTTCCTCACAGCCTCCCCTCACTGCCTCTCCTCACAGCCCCCCCTCACAGCCTGCCCTCACATGCCTTCCTCACAGCCTCCCCTCACTGCCTTTCCACACCTCTCCTCACAGTCTGCCCTCACTGCCTCTCCTCACAGCCTTCCCTCACTGCCTCTCCTCACAGCCTTCCCTCACAGCCTCTCCTCACAGCCTGCCCTCACTGCCTTTCCTCACAGCCTCCCCTCACTGCCTCTCCTTCACAGCCTTCCCTCACTGCCTCTCCTCACAGCCTTCCCTCACTGCCTCTCCTCACAGCCTTACCTCACAGCCTCTCCTCACAGCCTCCCCTCACTGCCTCTCCTCACAGCCTTCCCTCACTGCCTCTCCTCACAGCCTTCCCGCACAGCCTCTCATCACAGCCTTCCCTCACAGCCTCCCCTCACTGCCTCTCCTCACAGCCTCCCCTCACTGCCTCTCCTCACAGCCTCCCCTCACTGCCTCTCCTCACAGCCTCCCCTCACTGCTTTTCCTCACAGCCTGCCCTCACTGCCTCTCCTCACAGCCTTCCATCACTGCCTCTCCTCACAGCCTTCCCTCACTGCCTCTCCTCACAGATTTCCCTCACTGCCTCTTCTCACAGCCTTTCTTCACTGCCTCTCCTCACAGCCTTCCCTCACTGCCTCTCCTCACAGCCTTCCCTCACTGCCTTTCCTCACAGCCTGCCCTCACTGCCTCTCCTCACAGCCTTCCCTCACTGCCTCTCCTCACAGCCTTCCCTCACTGCCTCTCCTCACAGCCTGCCCTCACTGTCTCTCCTCACAGCCTTCCCTCACTGCCTCTCCTCACAGCCTTCCCTCACTGCCTCTCCACACAGCCTGCCCTCACTGCCTCACCTCACAGCCTTCCCTCACTGCCTCTCCTCACAGCCTGCCCTCACAGCCTTCCCTGCCTGCCTCTCCTCACAGCCTGCCCTCACTGCCTCTCCTCACAGCCTGCCCCTCACTGCCTTTCCTCACAGCCTGCCCTCACTGCCTTCCCTCAAAGCCTGCCCTCACTGCGTCTCCTCACAGCCTGCCCCTCACTGCCTTTCCTCACAGCCTGCCCTCACTGCCTCTCCTCACAGCTTGCCCCTCACAGCCTTCCCTCACAGCCTGCCCTCACTGCCTCTCCTCACAGCCTTCCCTCACTCCCTCTACTCACAGCCTCCCCTCACAGCCTCTCCTCACAGCCTGCCCTCACTGCCTTTCCTCACAGCCTGGCCTCACTGCCTTTCCTCACAGCCTCCCCTCACTGCCTTTCCTCACAGCCTCCCCTCACTGCCTCTCCTCACAGCCCCCCTCACAGCCTGCCCTCACTGCCTTTCCTCACAGCCTCCCCTCACTGCCTTTCCACACCTCTCCTCACAGTCTGCCCTCACTGCCTCTCCTCACAGCCTTCCCTCACTGCCTCTCCTCACAGCCTTCCCTCACAGCCTCTCCTCACAGCCTGCCCTCACTGCCTTTCCTCACAGCCTCCCCTCACTGCCTCTCCTCACAGCCTTCCCTCACTGCCTCTCCTCACAGCCTTCCCTCACTGCCTCTCCTCACAGCCTTACCTCACAGCCTCTCCTCACAGCCTCCCCTCACTGCCTCTCCTCACAGCCTTCCCTCACTGCCTCTCCTCACAGCCTTCCCGCACAGCCTCTCATCACAGCCTTCCCTCACAGCCTCCCCTCACTGCCTCTCCTCACAGCTTCCCCTCACTGCCTCTCCTCAGCCTTCCCTCACTGCCTCTCCTCAGAGCCTGCCATCACTGCCTCTCTCACAGCCTTCCCTGCCTGCCTCTCCTCACAGCCTTCCCTCACTGCCTCTCCTCACAGCCTGCCCTCAGTGCCTCTCCTCACAGCCTGCCCTCACTGCCTTTCCTCACAGCCTGCCCTCACTGCCTTTCCTCACAGCCTCCCTCACTGCCTTCCCTCACAGCCTGCCATCACTGCCTCTCCTCACAGCCTCCCCTCACTGTCTCTCCTCACAGCCTTCCCTCACTGCCTCTCCTCACAGCCTTCCCTCACTGCCTCTCCTCACAGCCTGCCCTCACTGCCTCTCCTCACAGCCTGCCCTCAAAGCCTCTCCTCACAGCCTCCCCTCACTGCCTCTCCTCACAGCCTTCCCTCACTGCCTCTCCTCACAGCCTTCCCTCACTGACTCTCCTCACAGCCTGCCCTCACTGCCTTTCATCACAGCCTGCCCTCACTGCCTCTCCTCACAGCCTCCCCTCACTGCCTCTCCTCACAGCCTCTCCTCACGGCCTGCCCTCACTGCCTCTCCTCACAGCCTCCCCTCACTGCCTCTCCTCACAGCCTTCCCTCACTGCCTCTCCTCACAGCCTGCCCTCACTGCCTCTCCTCACAGCCTGCCCTCACTGCCTCTCCTCACAGCCTGCCCTCACTGCCTATCCTCACAGCCTCCCCTCAGTGCCTCTCCTCACAGCCTGCCCTCACTGCCTCTCCTCACAGCCTCCCCTCACAGCCTCTCCTCACAGCCTGCCCTCACTGCCTCTCCTCACAGCCTCCCCTCACTGCCTCTCCTTACAGCCTTCCCTCACTGCCTCTCCTCACAGCCTGCCCTCACTGCCTCTCCTCACAGCCTGCCCTCACTGCCTCTCCTCACAGCCTGCCCTCACTGCCTCTCCTCACAGCCTCTCCTCACAGCCTGCCCTCAATGCCTCTCCTCACAGCCTGCCCTCACTGCCTCTCCTCACAGCCTGCCCTCACTGCCCCTCCTCAGAGCCTCCCTCACCGCCTCTCCTCACAGCCTGCCCTCACTGCCTCTCCTCACAGCCTGCCCTCACAGCCTCTCCTCACAGCCTTCCCTCACAGCCTCTCCTCACAGCCTTCCCTCACTGCCTCTCCTCACAGCCTGCCCTCACTGCCTCTCCTCACAGCCTGCCCTCACAGCCTCTCCTCACAGCCTTCCCTCACAGCCTCTCCTCACAGCCTTCCCTCACTGCCTCTTCTCACAGCCTGCCCTCACTGCCTCTCCTCACAGCCTGCCCTCACTGCCTCTCCTCAGAGCCTGCCCTCACTGCCTCTCCTCACAGCCTCCCCTCACTGCCTCTCCTCACAGCCTCCCCTCACTGCCTCTCCTCACAGCCTCTCCTCACAGCCTTCCCTCACAGCCTCTCCTCACAGCCTTCCCTCACAGCCTTCCCTCACTGCCTTCCCTCACTGCCTCTCCTCACAGCCTGCCCTCACTGCCTCTCCTCACAGCCTGCCCTCACTGCCTCTCCTCACAGCCTGCCCTCACTGCCTCTCCTCACAGCCTCCACTCACTGCCTCTCCTCACAGCCTGCCTCACTGCCTCTCCTCACAGCCTGCCCTCACAGCCTCTCCTCACAGCCTTCCCTCACAGCCTCTCCTCACAGCCTTCCCTCACAGCCTTCCCTCACAGCCTTCCCTCACTGCCTCTCCTCAGATCCTGCCCTCACTGCCTCTCCTCACAGCCTTCCGTCACTGCCTCTCCTCACAGCCTGCCCTCACTGCCTCTCCTCACAGCCTGCCCTCACTGCCTCTCCTCACAGCCTTCCCTCACTGCCTCTCATCACAGCCTTCCCTCACTTCCTCTCCTCACAGTCTTCCCTCACTGCCTCTCCTCACAGCCTGCCCTCACTGCCTCTCCTCACAGCCTCCCCTCACTGCCTCTCCTCACAGCCTTCCCTCACAGCCTTCCCTCACTGCCTCTCCTCACAGCCTGCCCTCACTGCCTCTCCTCACAGCCTGCCCTCACTGCCTCTCCTCAGAGCCTGCCCTCACTGCCTCTCCTCACAGCCTCCCCTCACTGCCTCTCCTCACAGCCTGCCCTCACTGCCTCTCCTCACAGCCTCTCCTCACAGCCTTCCCTCACAGCCTCTCCTCACAGCCTTCCCTCACAGCCTTCCCTCACTGCCTCTCCTCACAGCCTGCCCTCACTGCCTCTCCTCACAGCCTGCCCTCACTGCCTCTCCTCACAGCCTGCCCTCACTGCCTCTCCTCACAGCCTCCACTCACTGCCTCTCCTCACAGCCTGCCCTCACTGCCTCTCCTCACAGCCTCTCCTC